ATGTAATTAAATATAATTACATAAACCACACTTTATTATGAACATTTCTCACGAACGAAAAGGTTTTCAACAATTCAAGTAATAAAACATTGGAAGACGCTCACAACTGCTATAACAAAAGTACTCGATTTATACACAGAAACATGACGAATACAAAGGGTTTACATAAGAATTTCGATAACAGTATTGATAATAAGTAGGAAATTATGTTGTGGTTGAATCTTCACATATTATATATCTAAACGACATTGTCATCGTATATCAACGTCAAATTTTAGCTACATCATTCTGTTACGTTACTATGTATACTGCAACACTTTCAATGAAATATCTGCGTAGCGCGACAACGCATCTGTTCTTTTTATTGCCGCGTGAACAGAAGGAATTACCATCAAGGTTAGGCCTCAATGAATGCAATTCTGATTAAAATGTTGCTTCCGACAATAACACTCAATTATTGGATTGCAATGAATTTATTACAATTATAAAATTTTTATTTTGACTGCAAGCTAATCACACACACAAAAAAAAAAAATCTCGTAGACAAAGGAATCAAAATCATTCCTTTTTTGGTAAACAATCGATCAACCGATGTTCCCTTTATTTATCGATACAGTTTCAATTAATTGCTTATCATATCAGTCGCGGTGACAGATTACGATATAAAAACGCAATGTAATACAGGGACAAATTGCCTTTCGATTGCAACATAATTGCTCACTCAGAGGATCTTATGGAGATCTACAATTTAATTTCCCATTAAATGGTTCGAGTGATTTGTCCCACCCTTTTTCATGCAGTAAATTGATGATACTTTCGAATTATATGAATGTGATGGCATGACGCAATGTATTGTAATTGGTCAAATAAATGAACGAACGGCAAGTGTTGGAACAAAGATTGATCCTCTCCAATGACACAAGTTCGAGCAAGTCGAGTCGAACTGTCATCCACTACTCCACGCTTTCTAGATAATCTATTATTCCTCTGCTGACTTCGTAGAGTAAACATGAACAATAATTCTTATTGCCATTGTCCATACCATACCTAGTCTTCTAAATTAAAATATAGAATAGTATCTTTGTATGTACATACATACATACACACTTTGTACATAAAAAAAAAA